ATACAGAAGCAAGCATGGCCTATATTATTGAGAGGCGAGGATATGATAGGTATAGCCCAAACAGGGACTGGAAAAGCTTTAGCATTTCTGCTTCCTGCTTTGATTCATACTGATGGACAGACTACACCACGTGAGAAACGTAATGGTCCAAATATATTAATTTTAGCGCCAACGCGAGAATTAGCATTACAAATAGCAAAAGAAGTTAACAAGTACTCGTTCCGTGGAATAAAAGCGTAAGTTAGGAAATAGTTAAACCATAGTTTAAAATGAATGAAGAAAAAAATTATTCAATGAAGAAATTCTTATTCAGTGTATGCATTTATGGTGGTGGGAATCGTCGTGACCAAATTAGTGTTTTCAAAGAAGGAGCTGAATGCGTTATTTGTACTCCTGGACGTCTTAATGATTTGGTTCAAGCTAAAGTTATAGACATTACATCAGTTACATATTTAATACTAGACGAAGCGGATCGTATGCTGGATATGGGTTTCGAGCCACAGATCCGAAAAATTCTACTCGACATACGTCCTGACAGGCAGACCGTCATGACTAGTGCCACCTGGCCACCAAGTGTTGGTAGATTGGCCGAAAGTTATATGAACAATCCTATTCAAGTGTGTGTTGGTTCGCTTGATTTAACTGCCACTCATACTGTGAGTCAAAATGTAGAACTCTTGGAGGATGCGGACAAATTTAATACGGTAATATTATTTGAAAACTTAAATAAGAAGAATTATGAAGAACAATGTATTTATTCTTGCTGCAGGTCCTTGCATTTTTAAAAAACCTTAAATCAACCGATAAGGTTATTATCTTCTGTTCTAAGCGAGCTCGTGCTGACGATTTGTCCAGTGATTTATCTCTAAAAGGCCTGTCAACACAATGTATACATGGTTCTCGTGATCAGGTACATAATGCATTAACTTAATTAGAGTAATCTCAGTCTCAGAACATAAAATTTATAAACTTATAAACTTAAAAAAATTGTCTTTAGACCGATCGAGAACAAGCACTGGCTGATATAGCGTCAGGTGATATACAGGTTTTGATAGCGACAGATGTTGCTTCAAGAGGTTTAGATATTGAGGATATTACGTAAGTGCTTAGTAGTATTTGAAACCGAATTTGTTGTATTAATTGTTTTTCATTTAGTCATGTTATTAATTTTGATTTTCCGCGTAATATTGAGGAGTATGTTCATCGTGTTGGTAGAACTGGACGCGCTGGGCGAACTGGCACTGCCATAAGTTATATAACACGCTCGGATTGGGGTGTTGCAAAGGATCTCATTCGTATTTTAGAAGAAGCTGGTCAAGCAGCTCCAGAAGAACTATACAGAATGTCCAATCGTTTTGAGAAGATGAAAGAAAGACGTGGTACAGATTTTAAAAGGGGTGGTGGTTTTAATCGCCGTTACTAAATGATATTTTTTTAATATATGGTAGGGGTATTATTCGATAAACAAGATCGTGAATAACCCTGTTTGATTCGAACCGATCAGTGTTTTACTTAAAAAAGTGTTGATCGTTAAAATTGAAAATTAATTAATAAACTATTTCTAATGTTATTAGTATAATAATGTACAATAAGAAAAATCTAAAATAAAATTAATTAAAAATGTGTATTATTTAAATTGAAATACAAAATTACATTTTAGAATAAATTTTTAAATAAGAAATATTTAAAATATGTTTTTTATACAGTGAACTTTGTTAATTTAATAAATTTAATCAATTACAACTTTATGATGATTCTATTGTGTTCTTACTTTTTCGTTTGTAAAAGTTTCAACTTTTTCCTGAAAATAAGATATTTTATTTGAAATTTTTTTAAGATGGAGATTAATTATTTGTACAGGCAACGATGTGAGTTAAATATTGTAATCGCTATATACGATTTTTAATCAGAGGCTGATAAAGTTGATTAAATTTCTGTATTAGTAAGTTTTCTAGTTGTTTCATTTAAAATGAATTTTAATAGGATTCAGTTTTAATAGGATTCATAAATGTATTGGATGAGGTATAAAATGAACTTAATATAAAATATATATTTTTTTCACATTATACATATTTAATTTGAATGTTATTTTAAACAGACAATTGATAGACAATTGATCACTGCTCAAGTATAGTACTGTAGTCAAGTCAAGGTCAAGTCAAGCCAATGAATGCCATTATACTAACTTGAAATCTTTACTATCACTTCGAATGATCATTTCTCACTAAGCCATAGATAAGACCTCCTAAGAAATCAATTCATCTGATCAGCGAAGATCGTTATCGATGTCATTTGAAATAAATCTTTAATTTAATTAATTTAAATAATAAACGTCATTTAATTTAATAAAATTTGTTAAAGTTGTATACATATAATATTTAATAAAAGCAGCTATACGCAGATACGTGTTAACATGACTGTCTGATTAAATGGAAAAGAAAGAAATTAGAAAGCACGCTTTCCAAATATTGATAAATTTTATCAATAATTTTATTTTATTATTCCATTGCGAGTGTAGATATATATTGTTCGATTTGTGGACTATAGAACAAGTAACATATAGTTGTTCATGTGGAAGATTATCTGTGTTGAGAGTTGAACCACAGTATCCTAAATATTGAACTAAGCTCGCTTTAGATGGTGATTGCAGACGCCAATAGAATTGTGAATTGCAATCTTTTGAATTGAAATGGCATATCCGTTAGAATTATTGGATTGCGGAGCTTAAAGGCATCTTTACCTTTGAGAGAGATCTCTAATATTTGTATGATTAATATAATATTGTGATATATGATAATTGATACTACGATTTTCAATCACAGTAAATGGGGTAGAGTCGATTACGGTTAGAGTGAATTAAAAAATTCTGTTTGATATTTAATCCGTTTGTATGATTTCTTATTTACATGTCGGTTGCTAATTAACAGAATTTCAAAGTGAATTGAGTAGCTCTTCAAAATGATGTAGCATTTATCATTATCATTTTAGAATGAAATTATTTTTCAATATTTTATAACACTCGCGACAAAAGATTGGCCATTGATAAATCAATAGACACAAAAGGGAAAACCAAACGATATATTTTGAATAAATCACCGCCTATTGCACAAAATATATAAAAAATCATTAACATAATTATTAATATAATGAACTCAAAAACAATCCGAGCTACTCTGACGAAATAGATCTTTAATTTTGAGATCTCTAGTTGCCTCTTTCTCTGCAAATTTAGCAGATTTTTCATTTACGTTGGTATCAGGTACAGGCACAGGGTTTTGACGACGTATTCCAGACGTAAGTGCTTCCAAAATTTCTTAAGAGATCACATTTTTGTTTCTTTCCACGACTGATCTCTGTTTGACATTAGTATGACATTTTTAATGTTGTACCTTTTGCAGAAAGTTTTATGGTATATTGATTCTCAAACCAGCTCTTACTTGCATTATAAAAGACATGTTTGTCGTTTTCTTCACTGTTAAGCAAAACACGATCAGAAATACGGCTGGGTCGTTAATCGAGGTTACTGTTGTACGAAGTAGCTGTTAATCGAGTTATTAGTGTATAGGTTCTTCTGAGACGCTCTTCTCAGAATGCTAATCGGTACATTGTTCTTATCAATGTAACCGTAATTTTATGAATTGAATTTGATATGATTATATGAATTTGATATGAACATGTCAGAACTTTGTAAACTTTTATAATTTAACACATGTAGTATGAAAATAGTATGTGGGCTTACCTATTAAATAGTGTGCTAATCCGATTTATCCCCTTGTGAAATTCATTTGTGTCCAAAAAGTCTAAACCAAATTAATATAGTTACATCACGCAAATTTGAGTATGGGCTGCCAAATGTATTTATATTAATTTTGAAAGAACGACACAAGTTTTCTTGTTCATTGGTTACTTTTGCAAGAGACGAGTCGGTGGTCGGATCGTTTTTTTAGCGGCTTGTGTTTTTTCAATTGGATTTGGTTTTAAGGCTGGTATGTATCTTCCTCCAAAAAATTCGTGTTTCGTGATTCATGATTCGTGATTCGTGATACTTGATACGTGTTTCATGACTTCAGTTCGAATATATGTTCAACTTTTTTCAATTAATTCTGGAACTTGTTAAAAATATTTTATAGTATTAACAATTTTTGATTTGTTTTCGCAACCGACAAGAACTTGAAACAGCCGCCAATTTTACTTGTTCCAAGAAATAACTGCAAATATAATGCACATATTAAACAAAAAGTTTTAAAGAAATTATTGTTTCTTTATTTAAAGAATTTTAAAACTATAATTAAAAAACAAAAATTAACTATAAAAAAAAAATCACTGCAATTCACATATATTTAAGGTTATGTGACGTATTTGCAAAAAAAATCTCCATTTGAAATATTTATATAAGAATCATTGCGAGATGAGACTTAAGAAGGCGGCGGCAGTATTATTTTCGACATACTTTAAACATAAGAGTGCAATTGCTTTATTCCCTAATAATCAATGTTAAAAAACATATTTTTAATTCTAATAGTCAATTTTAAATACCGTTTCATATCTTATGATTGAGGAGTTCGTAAAAGCGGTCGCGATTTGAATGTTTGAAATTTGGTTCGTTTTATAGAAAACGGAATAATCAGGTATTCCTTTATTTAGATTTTGCTTACTTCAAAATGGATACTTTTGGAACTGGTGCAACTCAATCTGAAAGGAACGAGTGTGGAGTTTTAAACTCAAACTTAAATCATTTTGATGATTTTATGGAGAAATTTCCTGCAGACCCTGCTTACATTGGTGCCATAATTGGTCGTGGCGGTTGTAAAATTAAAGAAATTAGAACAAACTTCAACGTTTATATACATATAAACAATGACACCAAGGAAATTTCTGTCAAGGGTCGTAATAGAAAAAATGTTGACGATGCAGTCAAATATATTCGTGATATTATGTCTGGTCAAGAAAATAGAAATTTTTCATTTCCAAATCACGAAGTCTCGCATAATCCCAAAGTTGTGTTAAAAGAAAATACAATGAATCGTTTTAATGCTTCTTCCGAAAATGACAATATTCAAGTTGCAGCTCCAAAATTTGTAAGTATGAATTAAAAAGAAGCAGAATATGGATATAATATAATATCTCATAACAAATTTGATTTAGGGAGAAAGTGGTGGAATTAGATTAAATGCGCCTACGAAAAATGTATATAATGGTGGTGCCGAAAACCATGTAGTATTGCAGCCTATCGATTGGGAAACTTTGAATAGAAAAGTTGTAAGAAAAATTTTTAAAATCTACATATTAAGTTATCGATTTACCATATTTATTTTGCTCACATGAGGCATTTTTGATTACAGGAAGAACATCGTAGGTTACACTGGGCGCATCTGCCAGACTTGAGAAAAAATTTTTATGAAGAAGTAGAGGAAGTCGCTATTAAGACAGAAGAAGAAGTGAATGAAATGCGTTATTTAAACAATAATATAAGTGTTTCCCGTTTGGTGACAAATGAAGATCAAATGTGTCCTGATATACCGAAACCAATTTGGAAATTTCAACATTGTTTCAAAGATTATCCTGATATCCTTGATGAGTTAAAGAAACAAAATTTTAATGAACCATCACCAATACAGAAGCAAGCATGGCCTATATTATTGAGAGGCGAGGATATGATAGGTATAGCCCAAACAGGGACTGGAAAAACTTTAGCATTTCTGCTTCCTGCTTTGATTCATACTGATGGACAGACTACACCACGTGAGAAACGTAATGGTCCAAATATATTAATTTTAGCGCCAACGCGAGAATTAGCATTACAAATAGCAAAAGAAGTTAACAAGTACTCGTTCCGTGGAATAAAAGCGTAAGTTAGGAAATAGTTAAACCATAGTTTAAAATGAATGAAGAAAAAAATTATGAAATTCTTATTCAGTGTATGCATTTATGGTGGTGGGAATCGTCGTGACCAAATTAGTGTTTTCAAAGAAGGAGCTGAATGCGTTATTTGTACTCCTGGACGTCTTAATGATTTGGTTCAAGCTAAAGTTATAGACATTACATCAGTTACATATTTAATACTAGACGAAGCGGATCGTATGCTGGATATGGGTTTCGAGCCACAGATCCGAAAAATTCTACTCGACATACGTCCTGACAGGCAGACCGTCATGACTAGTGCCACCTGGCCACCAAGTGTTGGTAGATTGGCCGAAAGTTATATGAACAATCCTATTCAAGTGTGTGTTGGTTCGCTTGATTTAACTGTCACTCATACTGTGAGTCAAAATGTAGAACTCTTGGAGGATGCGGACAAATTTAATACGGTAATATTATTTGAAAACTTAAATAAGAAGAATTATGAAGAACAATGTATTTATTCTTGCTGCAGGTCCTTGCATTTTTAAAAAACCTTAAATCAACCGATAAGGTTATTATCTTCTGTTCTAAGCGAGCTCGTGCTGACGATTTGTCCAGTGATTTATCTCTAAAAGGCCTGTCAACACAATGTATACATGGTTCTCGTGATCAGGTACATAATGCAT